AACCTGATGCACCAGAACCAAAGGTGTCTCGGGGTACAGTGCAGAGGAGTGAGAGCTGTTGAAGCTACTGGGAGTTCCTGTCAAGCTTCTGCTTTCCCAGGGCAGTGCTGCCCAGGAAAGCAGCTCCTTGCCTGACCTGTTTATTTTCCTGAGCGCTGTTTCAGTCTTTACACACATTAGTCCTCCAGACAAATTCATTTGTGCAGTAACTCGGTGCAGACCCGAGGAGTTCCAGGGTCTGGTGGATGTAGACCCTACCTCACGTGCCATGGGGGCTGAACAAGATGGTCTTGAAGGTCCCTTCCAACCCACTCCACTCCGTGACTCTACAAAAGAGCTTCACTGCCTAGTGCCTCAGTATTTTTCTAACACCTTTGCCTGGTGACTTGACAGATTATTTCTCACCTCAAGAGGCTGTACTTGAAATATTGTGTCCCTTCAGGGAGTAATTATAAATAGCAAGGACTTGAATGAGCACCTTCTTAATCTTCCATCTTTGACTTAATATTTTCACTTCTTATCAACTCTCAGCCACTTGCTTTGAAATCTGACCAATGCCTTTATGTGATTAATACATCAAACAGGTAAATTAGAGCCACTTTGACTCTGACTAGAAATCTAAATGGATTGAGGAAAAAAAAAAAAAGAACAGACATCTCTGTTTTCCAACTGTTGTGCTCCAGGTATCATACGAGAAGATTTATGTATTCCTCCCCATTGTCATTCTTCTACCATAGACAGGAATATTCAGTAATATGAATTTTTCCCAACTATGCCTTGACTACCATTATTCAAGACAGAAGCTTTCTCTTTATTTCATGACAGTATAAGTGCTGATGAAAACTACTGTAGTTTTAAGACCTTTTCCTTAGATAGTTTATATGAAATGAGTTGACAGATCTCAGATTTTATCACTGGGAGCCTGGCCTATGTTTATTGCTGAGCTGGCCAGCAGAGGCTAAGGTTTGAACCTGGTTTAAGACTTCCAACATCCTTTTGCTCTCCACTATCTCAGCATCAAAACAATTCAAGCTTTGAGTATGTATGTGAAAGTTAATAGTTTAGTTCTGGATCGAAGCACATTGGCAGAGCAGCGGGAAAGGCGTTTGTCATTCCACAGTACAGGCCATGCAATTATGGACATTAATCCTGTGTGCACTTTTCAGAACACAATTGAATTGTATGTTCTGTCCCCAAGAAGATGGCTTCCTCTTAGTTCCACAGCACATTGAAATTAAAGTCTGCTGAGAATATAAATGAGGGCTTGTTTCAACTTCAGGACTTTCCTGCAGGCACCAGTGGACCAGATAGAAGAGGGACAGCAATGCTCTCCTTTTTGAAAATAACAAATACAACAAAATATATAGGTACGTTCCAATAAAAGCAAAGTAGCTGCGAGTCTTAGCCTGGTGTGGTTTAGTTGTTAGTCCTGGATGTTACCCCACAAATCCAAGTTTGTAGGTGAGAACAATGAGCAATGAGCCCTCTTAGGCAAACTGCACTTGAGCTTTTCCTTTGCTTACCATGTGTTTGGGTTTGGTCTCTGGATTTTCAGGCTGCTGCCCACACATTGGACACAGCTGACTGTCTCCCAGCGTTCTGTGCAGTGTGTCAGAGCACACTGAGTCTCTTGCAGGAAAGCAGGTTTCCTATTCCGGTTAATCCACTCTTTCACGTCTATTTGCATGTTCCTCCATAGCATGGCAGTCACTGCTTATCTTCTTAGGAGCCTCCTTCACTAGTTTTTTGCATTTACTGACAGAACATGGCTCTTGGAGACACAAACTGTGCTGTGGAAATGCTTTGTGCCATAAGGCTCTGTGGAAGAAGGAAGCATGGCAGGATTTCCCTCATTTCCTAGTAGATAGTCCCAGTCATGTCATGGCTCTTCCTGCAAAGAAGAGTCTGTTTTGTGTGGTAGATGAAGTCCATGTTTCACCATTCTGCAGTCTTACTTACTACTTTTTTAAGGTGACAGGGTGTTGGGGTTTGGGGAGGGTTGTTTGTGTTTTAAGGCTTGTGAGTGAGGAGTTCCTGTCAGGAGGGTTTGTCTGGGCTTCTGTTTGGGTGCAGCTCCTCCACTGCAATAGCCCAGGCAGTGTCCTCCAGGAGGTGTTTGTACAGCCCTTGCTGCCTTTGGTTCTCCTGGAACAGTGCTGGACACTGGCTAGAGAAGTATGAGCAGTAGCATTGCATGGAGGGAGCAATCAATATTATTTCATCTTACTTTACTTTATTTGATCTAAAGTTGATCAATCAGACTCTGTTGAAAAGATTGTGACAGATACTCAGTGCATCTGATGACAACTCTTATGTCATAGTTCTTATGAAGTAGATGGGTTATAGTAAGATTGTGGATATTTAGGCTGTCAGACTGTCACTGCTAGTGTTGAGAATACAACTGAAATATTGGTTAAAACTCTTGTGAAAAGCATCATGAAATTTGCCCAGGCCCAACAGTTAAGATCATATTTCTTGTGAATGGACACTTACACCAAAACAATGAACCTTAGAAAGCTACTAGGTAACTCTCTTATTCTGATACAGGTCAATAATTGTGATTCATAAACATCTCAGTGGGTTTCCTTTTCAAAAACATATGTGCTGGCCTACAGAAAGCAGCAGCAGCTCAATCACAACATCCTTTTTCAAGGACTTGCATATCAACCAACTTGAGATTTAATTGTTTCCCTGTAAATATCTTTTTTCTAATACCAGCTAAATATAATACTAAAGGTGCATAAAAAGTTTCAAGGGAAGGTTAACTCAAAAGTGTGTTTGTGCCACATAAAAAACTTTATTTTACTTCATTATTGAGCATCATAAACTCTAGTGTGTAATAGGAAAACAGGGACCCTGTTCAGGCTGGCAGCAGCAGCTGCAATCTGTTGGTGCAGGAGATACTCAGGAGTGAGTGAGTATAGCACAGGGGTTGTAGTCCTCCTCCCCCAGCTTGGTTTTACTACTTAAGGATATTTGCATGAGAATAAAATCTGGTTCTTTGGCACTCATCTGCTCCTGCTGTTTATTCTTCGCTTGAGGTTATTGTCTCAGTTTGTGACAACATAATTGGTTTCTGTGGAGAAGATTATGATATTGATGAGACTTATATATGACTTCAGGTGAGGTGCAATCAAAGCAACAGTTCAAAATAGAAGGTGCTGTCTGTTTTCATGCAGTTTTCACTATGGCTCATTCAGCAGTGTAATTAAGGATGTTATTTATTACTGAACTGTACCATAGTAAGCTGAAGTATGGACACAGTTCTGCCACTGCAGGCAGGACTGGGGTCACTGCTGCTTATTTTGTGTTCTAACTGTTGTAAACTCCACCAGGCTGGGCAACTAGATGATGTTCACACAAGGGTTGCTCACTATTTGTTGTAATTTAGTATTCTCTAGTGCAGACAAGCTGAAAGAATTGAGCTGGAAAATGCTCTCTTAATAGTTCCTTCTGTGTATTAAATATTCCTTCGAATGGTTAGCTGCTCTTGTACAGGATAAATTTTTTTGAGAACAATTATAATCAGAAACAATTATTTTATCGTGTTGTTTCCCCCTTGCTGATTCCCAGTTTGCTATTTTATATCATACCCTATCCCTTTTTTATAAACACAATCTCAGCAAAGTTTACCTAACGTTTGGAAATCATTCCAAGATCTTGGCATGTGTGAGCCTTCTGCTCTGTAATTAGAGCTCACTTGTCACTTGTGGTGCTGTTGCAAGGGCAGTGTGGTGGTGCTCTCGGGTGGCAGGGCTGGCTGTGGGGTCAGGGTGCCCTGGGTTACATTGGGAAGGAACCTGCTGCAGCCAGGAGAGGCCAATGCCAGCATCAGGAGTGCTGGAATGCATTGCAGATTGAGAGGAGTAGGATGATCTCTGTCATGATTTAATTTGCTGTGAATGACACTTTGCTGTGGTGTGACTGGTGGATTGTCCTTGGGGGATGTCACAAGTTAGTCTTTTCTCCCATCTGGATTACAGAGCCAAAAGGACAGACAAATGTGAGCCAGGTTACAGGGAACTGGGCTAGTGGAGACTTGGTCTGCCCATGGGCAGGTGTGGTCCCAGGCATTTTCCTTCCAGATGTCATCTGTCCTCCTCCTGCTGCTGCTGCAGGCCAGGTGTATCACAGCACCACAAACACGGCTGTAGCCACGGCCTTGCTCGTGCCTTAAAACACTGTAGGCCTGTCATGAGATGCATCCCCCCTTCCTCTCTCCTCTAGAAAACATTGGATTCTGATATTACCTTGTGATTCTGAAAGCCAAGGCCTTAGGCACATGCCTTTCGTGCCTCAGCTTTCGTCTGCTCCCGCTCACAGTTGTGTAGGAGCACAAGCACAATGGGAGAAGAGAGAAACCTGAGGAGACAGACTGAGCACATCCCATCGCCTTCTGGGAGCCCCACCATGTGTTGGGAGTAAATGCTTTGCTCCCAGCACGGTGGATGAGCAGGATGGGGAGAACACCATCACCTACCCATCATTTGAGTTTGAGTTGGCAAGAGGACAGGAGTACAGCACTCAATGGATATTTAATGTACTGAAAATAAGGAAGGGGCATAATTACACAATTCACGTGGCTTTATCAGCAGTTGCCTGTAAATATGTTTAAAGTTTGACTGTGTTTTGTTACTTAAATTTGAGGAGCCAGGCTCGGTGTGCATCCTGGTGTCACAAAGGTTGTGTTGCTGCTTGATCCCATGCCAGCTCTTGCCTGTTGCTGCCTCTTCTGAACTACCCAAAGTGGTTGTGCTGTGTGGTAATTCAGACCAGGGAGCCGAGCTGAAACTAGTTTGGCAAAAATCCTGATGCAAGGACCATTAGATGTGCTTCTTTATGGCTTCTTGGTTGCTCAGCACATGCAAATATTTAATCTCATGTTTAATTCTGTGTTGTGGGCGTAGGAGCCGGAGGCAAAATCCTAACAACTTGAGTGGAATCGGGATTTCCCCTGAAAGCAGGCCCATAAATCCAATGGGAAATTTAAATCTCGGGCACTCAAATACAGGCCTGTGACCCTCAAGTTCTGGAAGGCAAAGGCAGTGTCTATGTGGAGGTGCTGGCCCCGGGACCTCTGGATCCAGAACAGGTCCCCAGCTGACCGATGTGCAACATGTCACACTGCGGGGAGGGCATTTCATTGTGAAACCCCAGCAGCGGGGCAGGATGATCAGAGCACGGCTAGAAATGGTTCCTTGGGAGCAAGTCAAAGAGGGGGTGCCTGCACAAGGAGCAGCGTGAGGCCAGATGCGAGCAGCTCCACCAGCCGGGTCGCTTCGTCTTATCCCAGCGCTGGTTCTGCCGCTTGCAATCTCGAAGTTTGCTCGGCGCCTTCCTCCGGCCGAGGGATGGAGGTTCCCCGCTGCCGGGGCGGAGCGGGCAGGTAGCGCGGTGCAGGGTGTGTGTGTGTGTGTCTGTGCGCGTCTCCTTTGTCTGAGCAGCCCGAGCAGCGCCGAGCGCCCCGCGGGCGGCCGCGCATCTTCCCCGCCCAGCGCCGCTCGGCACACCCGAGCCTCGGCCCGCCCCCGCCGGCCCTCGGCACATCGCGGGGCTCATTACCGGCGGGGGACTAATTGCCGGCCGGGCGGCCGAGCCCCCCGTGCCCGGCCGCGCCGTGTGCGGGGGGCGGCCGCGGTGCCCCGGCCGCGCGGTGCCCGCTGTCCCCGCAGGCCGGCGGTGTGGAAGCGGCCCGCGATTGGCCGTGCCGGCAGGGCCAGCCCCTTCCTGGCTGCCTGGCATGAATATGCACGGCCCCCCTTCCTCCTCCTCCTCCTCCTGCATGTGTGTGTGTGTGTGCGGGGAGCGGGGCTCCGCCAGCAGCGCCGCTCCAGCCATGTCAGCTCGGCTCCGCCTGGGCCCACCATGAGCCATGGCCATGTCTGCGAGCGCCGACGAGGAGGACTACGAGTCGGAGCCGGAGCCCGAGCCGGGGCCGGGGCCCGAGCTGGGGCCGGAGCAGGTCCGGGGCGGGCGGCGAAGTTTGCAGCGGGAAGGGAGGGGAGGAGGCCGGGCCGGGCAGCGCCGCGCCGGCCGCGGGGACGGGAACAATGTGGGGTCGGGAGCGGCCCCGGGGCAGCGCCGCCCGCCGAGGGACCGCGCCGGGCGGGGCCGCGGAGCCTCCGCGGGGCCGGCCCGGGGCGCTCGGCCTCGCCCGCCGCGGGCGCCCCGGGCACCGCGAGTTCGGCACCTCCCAGGGCCCCGAACGCGCCCGGAGCGGGTGGTTGTTGCCTCTCGGGGGCTGCCCTGTCCGCGGCAGAATTGTTATTTTTTTTCCTATTAAGATTCCTCAAATAGCTGAGAGGGCTGCGGGACTTGGGGGAGAGTCTGATGCTGAGCCTGGCTACCTTGTCTTCGTTTGATTTATAGCCAAAGCCTCCTTTCCATTCCCAGGGACGAGAGATGTAGAAGAAAGAGAAGGATGTGTGCCGGAATGAAAAGAGAACTTTTATTAATACTTGCAGGGTTTATTCTCTGAAGCCTTTTTTTTTTTTTTTTCTTTTCCCGTGGGGGAAGGAGAATAAACTTCTTGAATTTATGAAGTAATCTGTGAAAAATAATCCAGAACATATGTTCTAGATTGCGTATTTTACTCTCTAAGAACTGCCTAAGCAATTAAAAATGCACCAGGAATAGTATTAAACATGTGTATGTAATTTAAACATAAACTTGATAGTTTTGTTCTTAACTCAAGGTGTTTCGCTCTTTAAAATAGCCTGATATTTTGTTTTTAGAGAAAAGTTTCTCCATAGTCCAGGTGTTGAGACTATCTTCCAAAACCCATATTGTTTTGAACAACTTTACCTTGTTTTGGTTCAGAAATGCGCATAGAAGACAGGACCAAAAAAGAGTTTGGGGTGGTGGTGTGCCTTGGGTGCTCCCCAGGGATGGCAGATCTGATGCAGAAACCTTGGGGGGCACAATGTGCTGTGCTGGCCTGGCGCAGTGTCAGTCCAAGAACCTAAGCTGAGGTTTGGATGAGTAACTTTATTAAGCCTTTACCTAATTCTGAGGATTTTTGAATGTGCAGGCCTGTGCTCCTTCTGAGTTCACTGCTGTGCTCTCAAACATAGTAGTTAAAATGTCCCAGTCCTCTTTTCTTAAATTTTGTCTCATGCCAGGCCTTTTCCATTTGTGTCTGTGTCTTGGTGCAATCACTGCACACTTTTTAAAAAGAGCTAATGGTTGGGAGAGCAGATTGGTCTCAGCTGTATTGTACCAGCTGCGAAATTGTTGCTTGGAGGTGCTGGTTCTTGCTGGATGAATCTGGAAAGTTGGTTATGTTCTGGGATTCTTCAACTCTTCTAAAACCTGAGGCTTTCATAGCATTTTTGTATCTTAGAAGTTTAAAACAGAAATTAATGCAAGACAGGGGAAATCTTTCTTTTGGAGTTTCTTAAGAAACTTGGTCTGATCCTAAACTATAACGCAGTGACCTATGTACCAAAGACCTGTGGAATGTTTTCCTTTCTGTTCAGAAAAGTTCCAGTGGTAAAACACCTCATGTAGCTCCAGCTGTATTTTCATACAGGCCTGCTTTAATGTCTGCTTATCCTATTTTTCTACACGGGACATGTCAAATCAATATTATGTTGCTTTTTGTACTGCGACAGCCCTTGTATGTAACAGGTGCTTCACCTCTAAGGGTGCAGTTGAACAGCACAATTTCAATGCTCAGGTAGAAGCCACAGGTTTTATCACTTTTTATGCTGACTTTCCCTGGTCTGTGTCTAAACTAAGAAGGCAGAAGAGCCTTCTTAGCACAGAGCACGCAGGATTTACTGCACTTGTGATAGCTGCCAGCAGTGCTGGGGGTTTGGAAGTGTGTGGGTGCTGGGGCTGTATCCTGGGCAGCACCTGCCCCAGCCCACCAGGTTGCTGTGTTACTCCTGGTGTGAAGAAATTCGATTTCTGACTGTGTGTAAACAGAGAAAACTGCACCTGGTTGGTGCAGGGAGATTTGTCCCAAAGCAGCAGTAAAAAAAGCTGCGTTGTGCCCCAAGTCTGTGGAACTTATTGGGATCTTTGTTTTAAGAGCTCCTACTTTTGATGAAGCTTATCTCCCAAAGCATATTTTTGCCAATATATCTTATTCCACCCTCCAGGCCTAACTTCTGCCTCCTCACCACCAGAGGAAAATAAACAGGGGCACTGACATTGGCAATGATGTGCCAGTTTATCACACCCTAAACAACATTGCTATATTGGCAGAAAAGCTGCTGGAGTGTCATTAACACTCAGATGAACCTGCAAAGTATAAACTTTTATTTTCTTTCTATTTTCTTGCGGGAAATGAGTCTGATTCAGTAGTGGAGCTCTGTGTGGTCACCTGGAAGCGTCACTAGGAGCTTCTTTGGTTGTGGTAGAAGGGGATTTTGTAGGTATGAAGTGGAGGAGATGGTGGCAGTAAACATCTGGAGAGGATTAATGCTGGTTTGGGATGGCTGGGATTGAAAAAGTTCCAGTGCCTTCCCTTAGCCTTTGATGCTGCTGTTTAATGAGGGACCTTGGACTTGAAGGACACCTCCACCCCAGCAGGAGTGTATTCTGAAGGAGGGTGATGTAACTGTAAACACCCAACTGTGAGAGGAAAACAGCTCTCCTGGAGTTTGCATGTGCAGTTTTGGGTAGATAGGCTTTAGCCAGACATGGTCCATGGTGTTGGTGCGTGCTCTTAGGTTAATACAACTTTTAAGGATGTTATTGGCATCAGTGGGATTTTTTGCTCTCTCACTCTGGCTTTTTCCTTGGCCCCACTGCATTCCTGCAGTTACATCATCCTGTCCTTCCTTCTTCCTCTGAGTTCTTCCTTTGAGGAGGGTTTCTGTTAGTTGCTAAACAGACATAAGGGTTTAATACAGAAGAACTGTTGACTTGGTTGTGATTATTCCCAGGGTCCTCAGGGAAGTGGTGGAATCATGGTCTATGGAAGAGTTAAAAATACATGTGGATGTGGCACTTGGGGCCGTGGTTTTGTGGTGAACATGGCAGTGCCGTGTTAATGGTTGGACTCAAAGATCTTTGAGGTCTTTCCAGCCTTAACAGTTCTGTGATTGTGCAGTGCCTGGCAGTGTGAGTGTAACAGGGTGACCCTGCCAGGCAGCCAAGGCCAGTACCCACATTTTGGGGTGAACGTAGGGTTACCTGGTGTGCACCATGGCTGGGAATTGTCAGTTTGGGTTTCTAGTGGGAATGCCAGAACTCCCTGCATAAGGAGGCTGGGAGAGGGATGTGGCATGGAGCAGGGAGGGACAGTGCTGCTCACTGCCCTGGGCAGCACACAGTAGTCTTGTCCTCCAGAACTTGCACCCTGTTTGGATGGAAAAAATGCTCCTCTGGTGCCATGGGAAAGGATAGAGACCTGACTGACCAGAAGCCTTTGCTGTGCCACCCTGTGGGTGTCTCCAGTGCCCAGTGTTGCCCATGACACAGCTCCTTTAGGGTGGTGTTTTAGGTGACAGCAATTACAAATTGTGGGTTAATGCATGTAGCTTCTGTAAAAAATGTTTTTCCCCTAATGTTTATTTATCAGACCTTCTAAAGAAACAAGTGGTAGTTAGATTTGGCTATCCTAATTCTGTTAATACAATTGCATTAGGATGCAGTGCCACATAAAGCTCTAAGCTCAAGACTGGCACCTGGCAAGTCCTGGATTCTCATCTTTGGGTGCTGCTGTGGTTGTGTGGATGTGGTCAAACTGCAGTAAATGCGAATAATCAGTATTTGTCCCTGTGTTACAGAAGGAAATCACCACTGCCTTGCAAATGCAAGGGATATATTTGTGTAGCACAGCACCTTGAAGCAGTGAACACTGCACATACACAAGATCTTGCCTAGGGGAGATGTGCACGGTGGATACTACATGAGCTGTTCACATTGTACTTGGCTGAAGTGAAGCGCTTCAGGATCTCACTGACCTGCCCCCTGAGAAGCCCTTCAGAAAAGCCCCACACGTCTCTGGGTTTTTTTGTGGAGTCTGAAATAATGGTTTGGTGCTGCTGGCAGCAGTTTAAAGCAGGTCACTGAAGCCGAGTGGTGGAATAGGAGCTGTGCCCAGGTGAGGGCTACTTGCAAAAGAGCTTGTGTCTATGCTGCAGACTGAGTCAGCCTTGCTTTGAGAACCAGGACCTCCCTCCTTCTGGACTTGGTCACAGGGTCAGCTGATCTTCCTCTCTAGGGTGGAGGAGTTTGTATGTGAAGTTGCCTGGTGACATCTCTGGCAGATCCCAATTGGTGTTGGGACAGCAGCTGGGGAACATCAGCACCTATTTAATGGTGCATTTAATGGCTGATAGTTCTTGCAATGTTTTCTCCAAAGCTTGATGTTCATGGTACTTTTTGTTTGCCCGAGGTCTTTTGAGTTGTTCATTGTAATTGTGAAGGTTAGAAATTTGCTGCTGTAAATATCAGGGTTATGTTTCTGTTGCAGTAAGGGTTGTGCTCAGGGCAGAGGCCATTCCTTAATGCCTCTGGTCCTTCTGAGCCTGGTTGGTGTTTTTTAGTGACAGCTGGGCAGGGCTGGGACATGTGGAAGTGTCCTGAGGTACCTGTAAGTAGGCAGTGGAAACTGCCCAGCAGCCAAATGTTTGTCCATAACCAGAATAAACTCATGTTCCAAGCACAGGCTTCCAGGTAGCTAATTTCCTAGGGTTGGTTTAGAATTATGAGTGTTGTACCTGAGCTTATTCCCAGATCTGCACAACCCTGTAGAGAGACTCTTTGATTACTGGTGACCACCCCACCTAGTCCCCTAACTGCTGTCCAACAGGAATGTGTTGAATTTGGTGGGTTCTGTATGAGGCCAGCACTTCAGAAAATTGCTGCAATCCGTTTCTTGTTGGAGGGGTGGGCTTGTTTAAACGCTGTGGTGTGAGCCCAACTTAATGACTTGTAAATGGTTTTGTAGTGCATAGGACAGTGCATGTGATGACCCACGTTCACCCCAGTGCCCAGGTGCTGTGTCTGCTTTGGGAACAGGAGAAAGTTACCTTTGTGTGTCACAGCAGTAATATGGAGAGCACCAAAAAAATCGCAGAACAGAAACACAAAAAACCACCCAAACAAAACAAACTACTGAGCATGGTGTCTTGTGTAAGTCCATCAGCTTCCTAGGTTTCAGTGTAATAGAGATATGGATTTAAGGTATTAATCCTAATACATTTCAGCAGCTGCTTGCTCTGCTTTTGTTGAGAGCTTGGTAGAGTGGCTGTCACCACTTCAGCATCCCTCTGCCTCTCTTTTGAAGATTTGCTGCAGCCACAGAAGTTAGGAGCCCAGTTTTTGTGGAGATGTTGGAGAACATGGTGGCTGGTGATGGTATTCCAGGCAGGCTCTGTTTCACCTCCCAGGCTTCTGTTGTAAGTGGGGGGGAAAAATCTTTAAGTTTGGTACAATCTTTGTTTCCTTGACAGTTCTGAGAGACACCTGTGGGGGGCTACAGAGTCATCAGGTCCAGACTGCTCTTGAGGGTTGCATCTCCTTGGGAAAGGAGATGGTGGAGTCCCCTCCACAGGAGTCAGGTTGTGTCATGCCAACTGGTGTGACACCCAGACCTGAGCCTCCGGCCATGGAGCTGCTGTTTGCTGGGCACCCAGCATAAGGAGTGCTGCCATCCCCTACCATGTGCTCGTTATTTGCAAGACAAATCCATGGAGTTGTTCTGGGAGGGTGGCAAGTGGCAATACAGAGATGGGGACAGGAGCTGTGAAGGAGATTTTACCCAGTCTCATCAGGCCTGGTATGTTGTAAAACTGCAGTCTGAGCTGGAAATCCTGCAGCATCTCCTCACTAACATCGACCTGGAATTTATCTGGCTGTCTGCCATGTGCTAAATAAACCCCAAGCCATGATGGAGGCTCCTTCTACCCCCTTGAATCCCAGGCCAGATTTTCTTCTGTGGAGGTTTTTAAGCGACCACTTTTGGAGGCCCTTGAAACTAGATATGAATGGGAATTCCTGCAAGGCCTCTCCAGCCTTGCTGGCTGCGACATCCTGAAGTGAAAACGTGGCTTGGGTTGAGGATTGGTTGGTTGGTAAATTAGTACAAACCCAGCTAGTACAATTTGCTAATGAGCAGTGAGGAGGTTTGGGTAGGTAAGAAATGTACAGTGAGAAAATACAGTGAGATGGAGGTCTGCACCTCTGCTGTGTTCTGGTGGTGTCTGGAAGAAAATCTGAGTTGTGTGGTGTAGTCTGACTTCAGGCTTGTTCTTGTACTTTCACCTTCCTGCTTTTGTGGGGTTTTTAGGATTCTCAAATTCTGTGTTCAAGCGATGCCTTTTATCACTTGTGTCCATGCAGTATCCTGGCACTTAAACTGTTGTCCTCAGAATTAGGACTTGGCTCGTATCACTGTGGCAGAAGCAGGAGTTGTCCTTCAGCTGGAAAAGTACAGAGTTTGATTTTTCCTTGAAAGCATTTAAAAACAGCATTCTCACAGTGTCATAGCTGTTGTTTGCCCCAAACTTAATCATGTTGCTTCCTAATAGGAAGGAGTCAGGTGCTCACACAGAATCTTCCGTGTGCTGTTGTCCGAGGGGAGCTGCCAAGGTTGTTGTGCATGTTTTGGTTTAACTTGTTCCCGCTGCTATCCAGCCTTCGGTTCGTGTCTCGCCTCCCTTCCCAGCTGAAGGAGACTCTAATAGAATGGAGGAGTGATTCATGCTGAGGAAGAAAATTATCTCTTGTCTAGGTTGCCTCTAAGCCAGTCCTGCCAGAACTGACTTTATCCTTGAGAGGCTGGAAAGTTGGTCTAGAAGGTAAATATTTATTCTTTAGAGTGTCTGACATTGATCTGAAATCCAGGCGGCTGCTGCGGTTGCCGATGGGAAGGAAGCTGTGCTCATCCGTGTTCACACAGCACGGTGAGGTTCAGCCTGCACACGGAACAAAGTCTGTTCTGGAGGAGTGGAATTAAAAACTTTGCAGAAATCTCTGCAAACTCTTGGACTAAGGAGTGTTTTCTCCCACCTCATAATGATAGTCAGTCTGTAGGAGAGAAAACTTACGGGGTCTAGCTCCTGACTTCTTCGCTCTCCCAGCACTGACATTCCTGGGATGGAGGCTGTTAAAATATCAGCACTTCTCTGATTAGAGAAAGTCACTGGAGCTTTGCTAAGTCAGGTGGGAGGAAGATCAAATACACTGCAATGTGGCTTCTCTTTAGAGTTGTACAGCAGGACACTTGGGGAAGCTTTTGTACAAGCAAGTGCAATGTTTGCACATCTCTTATTTTAAAAATTCTGGTGGAATTTCTGCATGGCTCCTAACAGTCAAACTGCCCTACCTTGGTGATTGCCCAGAATTCAACAGGAACAGAAAGTGAAACTGGGTGGTCTGTTGGTCATATGCTGAGGTGTGCAGAAAATGGAAGAGTTGTATAAATGCTAAACCAAATGAACTTCGCAGTGCTGTTAGTATCATCTTTATGGAGAAAGCTGTCAGGGGTCAGTATGAGCCAAGCCAATTCTTGCATAATTAGCTCCATACAATTACATGGTATTTAGTGATGTCTGGCTTGAGCTGTAAGTTCTTGTGTACAACAGGGAGTTTCTGATGAGAACACGAAATTTTGATGTCCACAGTGAATATGTTGCAGTTCACCTAATAATTTCAAATCTTTTCATGCTCCTTTAGTTTCTGTCTTAAAGGTCATTGAAATCTAGACCTCGGACGCCCTTTTTAGCCTTTGCACATCATCAGTTGGTGTTCTATTTTTGAGCACTTGCTGGTGTTGGATAGGAGCTACCTTGGAAGGGTTTTGTAGCATTTGTGTTTTATTTCCTACTTTATTGCTTGGCAGTAGTTCATACTCTCCTGATTTTTTAGGGATATGACTGGGGGTTTGAGCCATTGGCTGGGTGTTTCTCTGTTGTGCCTAACCACCAAACCACTTTTGCTGTTCATTGGATTCAGCAGAAGTCCTTCTGGCTTAACCTGAGAATAAATCTATGATATCTCTATCCCAGAACTCAGTGCTGGCACAGATCATCTGTTGATCTAAGCCAAGCACCTCACTCGGTACTTGATCTTGTGTTGAGCTGTGCCTAAATGTCTTTTCCCTGCCGTCCTGTTGAAATGGGTTTGCTCTGGCTTTGGGATCTCTCATTTACAGCCCACCCTTTCTCGGAAAAGCGCTGGAGCTCCGTTATGTCCAGGAGCGATCGTCCGTACCCGCGGCGCGTTCCCTGTGCGCGGTTCCGCTGGCAGCGGTCGGCTCTGCGGAGCTCTGGCAGGTGGGACGTGCAGCTGACCCTGTGTGTGTGTGTGTCTCTTGCAGAACAGGGCGGTGGGGCGGCCCAAGGGGAAGCTGGGCGCTGCCTCGGCGGTGAAGCTCGCGGCCAACCGGAGCACGGCGGGCGCGCGGCGGCGGAGGACGCGATGCCGCAAGTGCGAGGCGTGTCTGCGGACCGAGTGCGGCGAGTGCCACTTCTGCAAGGACATGAAGAAGTTCGGGGGGCCCGGCAGGATGAAGCAGTCCTGCATCATGAGGCAGTGCATAGCTGTAAGTGTGCCTGGGCCTGCAGCTCGTCTGCTGAGCCCTTCCCTCCCGCCGTGTCTCCCGGGTGACCAGGTGTGGGAGCTCTGTTCTCAGAAGTCTCTAAAGTGCATTGGACAAAAGTGTGTCATCTCTGCCCTCCCAGATCAGATATCTTTTTTTCCCAGTGTTTCTCATCCTCCCCAAATCCTTAACCAGAATGCTACCAAAACTTAACAGGACAGCTTTCCTTTTAGCAGTATAGAAGTGGAGATTGTCATTACATCAGAAATCAGCGCTGAATGACCCTCAGACTCTGGGATGTGAGGGAAAAGGGGAAGTTCTGATTCAAAGGATGAAGAGGTGTGTTTGGTTTGGATGTTGGAATTTCCTGAGAAAAGCTGCCCTGCAATCATCTTTGCCATGTTATCCACAAAAATTAGGATGAGAGAAATCCTTGACTGACAGCCTCCAAGATGTTGGTGTTGATGACCCCAGCCCCAGGCTCCCAGAGATCTGAATTTGTTTGTTTCTTGTTACTTAGGCATGGAGCAGAGGGTCTGATCTGGATGAGCAGAGAGCCATCAGTCCAGGGTCACGTCTTCCTCAGGGACTGGAAATGGCTGTCAGGGAAAGAGCATCAGAACAGGGCAACCAGGCAGTTTCCTGGGCTCCTGTGGTACATTACTTGGGAGCTTCTTGAGTCACAAGCGATAGCTTTCTGTTTAACAAATATTGACAGATTAATCTTCCATTAAGTTTTTCAAGCAGCTTTTGACTCTGTAGCTGCCATGCTGACTTGTGGAGCTTCTTCTCCGGTCTCATGTCTGCTGTGTCTCTGTTCAAGGCTAAAAAGCAGCTTTAGTTTTTACTTTAATTCTTTAGAAGGTCTTGTTTATGCTGTTGTTATGGGTTTGGTTTTCTTTTGTTGTTGTTTTTGTAAGGAAAGGAATGTTGTTTATTCATAACTGAAATATCACCCTATCTATACTGATTTCTCTCATTACAGTTCCCTTCACTTAGTATTTGGGGGTTTTTCTTTTAATTCTTCGGAGATGACCAAAGTGGAGGGATTAAATGGCTTCACCTAACAGTGATAAAAAACTGATAAGCATTTAAGGTTTCCAGTAGTTGCTCCTGGTAGCTCACTCCATGTTCTGTGCCAAGCTCTGCACTGTTCCTGACACAGAGGATTGGGTTCAGCGCTGCTGGATCTTTCAGTAAAGTACACAGAATATCCACCTTTCTGCAGAGTGCTTTTGCAGCTCAAGTGTCTTTTCTTTGAACACTTGATTTCCTGGAGTGTAGCATGAATTGAACAGCATGGATGAAGAATTTATTATTCTCTAGGGGCAAGAAATAGTGAAATCATGCTGCCTTTTTAGTGGCAGGATTAAATTAGGGCTGCAGTGTGCTTTCTCATCCTCACTGATGAAGGAAACTTTCATACTAAGCTGTTTCACTCTGGGTAACACAGGCTGAGCCTTTTGGAGATGATCTGGATTCTCTTCTAGCTGAGTGTAGTCATCCTCTGTATTCCAGTGAAGATTTATTTCTCTTCTTGGTGCCTAGAGTTTTAATTCAGTTAGGACAGAGGTAGCCATGGGTCTCTGATTATTGTCCCCCCCTCATGTGCCCTGACAGTGGCTTCTCTGCACTTTCTAGGTTGGTGCAAGTATCAGGGAGATTATTACAAATTCTTAAGGCAGCAAAGGCCCAGAAAATTAAGGAATTGAGGTGTTGTACCTTTCAAGGTGCTTTACATTTCTCTAAGCAATCCTGTTGGCTTTGCTCTTGTTCTCTAACAATTCAGCAGTAATAATATTGTGGTACCTATCCAGCAGCTTCCAGCCAAAAAGACCCTGCAAGATGCTGAAGCTGTATGGAAGTAATGGTCCCTACAGTTCTAGAATTGTGCTTGCCTTGGTTAATAACACTGACAATATTAACTTGACAGACTTTCATTAAGCTCAGAAGCCTTCAGAGAGCCCATGGTACTGCTGTTCAGAGAGCAGGAACTTCCTCTGCATCACCAGTTCCATCAGGAAGGGCAGCAGGAATGCCACTGCTGCATGGAATGGGGCTGGGAGGACAAGGTGACAGCACAACTGCTGTTCCAGCCCATCAGTGGGACACAGGCAGTGGTGGCACAGAGGAGATTGCCTGGACATCCTTGCTCCCAACAAGAAAAATTGTACTGCTGTTTGCAAAATGCTCTGTGCTCTAATGGCTCACTACAGCTGGGCTTCCCCCTGCCTGAAACCTGCTAAAGGATGCGCTGTTGATGCTGAAATTTGGGTTGGTGTGCAGGTATTCTCTTAGGGTTTTAGTCACTCCATCCACAAGAGATCCTTGCTGGGAAAAGCCCCATCTCTGCTTCTGGCTGTGTAAAAGGACTGGCAGCCTAATCAATTGTACTTCCCTTTGTGAGCAGCTTAGGTTCTTCCTTTTCTTTTTTCTAATGAGGTTTATACCTTATTGCTGCAGACTAGAATTTTGTTAATCATTAGCAAAAAGGTGGCTTTTTAATTAGAGTGACATTCAGTGCTTTGACATGGGTGACAGGTATGTGAGATGCTGCAGTTCCCTTTCTGCCTCAATGGAAGAAGAAAATCTGTGTGATCTCACTTGTGACACTTGCAGGAGAGAATCCTCTTTCTAAGTGAGCAGAGCTTTTTGCAGTGCTCAGGTTGGGAGCAGGGCCCTGGATAATGGACTGCCAGTCAGGAAAAGGGCTGTTCTTGGTTCTGCTGTGGGCTTGCTGTGAGACCTGGATCAGGTCCCATAACATCTGTCTGCCCTGCCTGTAAAATACGGGAGCTGCCAAATTGCTGCTCGGATTGTGAAACCTAATGGATGTGAATAGTGATGTTCTAGGGTGATTCTTTCCCCTCCCATTGTACACTGGTGAAGTGACTTGCATGCCAATGTCTGTGTCAGCTCACAGCTTCAAGGAACCCACCAAAAATGCATTTTCATCCATCCCAGTAATGCTTCCTGAACCTGTATTGCTACAGGGTGAAATGTGTCTTATGGAGCTTGGTCTGGTACCCAGCTCTAATTTGTTACCTTTTTTTTTTTTTTTTTTCCTTTTTTTTTGCCTTCATGTCACTTTGCACAATTAATCCCTATTAATCTCCTGTTTGAAATGAGGATACTGTAAATACACATTGAACTCTTGTGTCTCCATGTCTGCCATATCTTGATCAGTTCTTTCTGATACATAAACAGCCGGTGCTGCCTCATACTGCCGTGTGCCTGGTGTGTGGAGAGGCTGGGAAAGAGGACACTGTGGAAGAGGAGGAGAGCAAGTTTAATCTAATGCTAATGGAGTGCTCAATTTGTAATGAAATCATACACCCAGGATGCCTTAAGGTGAGTACAAGGATGTGATACATGTTGGAAACAAAAGCTGAATTGGTTATCACCTTAATGTAAAAGTGGTGCACAGAAATTGGGAAGCTTTTAGGTTTTCATCTTTGGAGAGATGAGAAGTGAGCAGAGAGCTGGTGTGAGGAGCACAGCACTGGGTGAGATCTGTGGCACGCACAGCCCTGACCAGCAGGCAGGGCCCTTGGTGTAACAGCATCCCCTGGGAGCAGGGACCCTGCTTTGGACATGCCCTGAGCGTGTGAAGATCTTGCTGATTTGTTTCTTTCTTTTTGCCCCTTGTTTAAGGAAATGAGGTGTTTCAGTTGGGATGGGGAAGGCAGAGCAATCTGCCTGTCCTTCAGGGTGAGATAGTCACAAATCCATGTCAGTAGCTTCTTCCCGAGTCCCATGAAGTGCAGATGAGCAATTGGCTGCTCATGTAGGTCCAGGCACAGATGTGCCTTAGGGTGGCAGCTGGCTCTAAAGATGTTAGGAGCAACTGTTGGAGCAGGAGTGCAGCTCTGGAGAGCAGCCTGAGCGAGTGTCAGGCTGCAGGAGTGCTCACCCTTGGCTGACTTGAGTCCTGTGAGCAGCTGTATTCTTTGCTGGTAACAAAAGTGTCATTTGGGGCATATCTTCCTGCATTAGCATTTAGAAGCTGCCTCTCTCCAGAGCTGGTTTCTTTCAGCTGATCAGCCATTTCCTGTTGCTGATTTGTTTATGGTTAAAGTGATTGGCCAAAGCAAATGTGTTCTGACACACCGTGCCCCAGAAAGCAGCGTTTGGGCCCTTCTGGGATGTCTGGGAGGAGAGGTGTGTGTGTGTGTGTTCCCTATGCAGGCCCGGGGTGAAGCTCTCCTGAGCTCTGCATGGTGCTTCAGCAAGCTCTGTGCTGTCATTTATTAGAGCAGAATGTGGGGAGCTGGCAAACCAGAGCTGTGCCTTCTCCCTGATTCATGGAGCTGGTGCTCAGTTGCTGCCAGATGGGCTCTGAAAAGGAGCTTTCCTTGTTTGGCTCTGCTTAAAACAAAACTTTGAGAGCTGATGAGGCAGAGGAAGGAGCTGCTCATTTTCAGAGGTACCTTAATTTTGTCTGCTTTGCTGTTCCAACCCTTGCTGGAAGTGCCCTGTGCACCCCCATCTCTGCCTTTGCAGTGTCAGGGCCACCTCAGGGCTGAGTTCAGAGGACAGTTGTTGTCTAGTGGCAGCTCAGGTATGACTTCCTCTCCCCATACTACATTTGGGACTAGTACAGGATGTGGGTCAGGTCTGTGAAGTCAGGCAAGTGCTGTTTGTTGTCTTACACGTGTGTGGTGTTCTGAGTGTTCTTTTGGTAACTAGGAACAGCATTGCTTTGGGTGTTCCTGACAGTTAAGCAGTGGGAGATTTACTGTGTGCCTTGTGTGTCTTTTATTTTGATTTCTCAGTGCTTCTGCTGAGCTGAAATGGTGGGTAACTGGTGCTGTTTATTTCCTGAGGCAAAAGAGAACTGGTAGAATTTCAGAATCATCTTGGAAGGTGAGATGAGACTGCTCAGGAGAACAGCAAAAGGAAAATGGAGCCTCTTCCTTAGATCCTTCCTTGCTCTTTATTCCCAGGTTCCATGATTTCCTGCAAGACAGAAATCTCTAGCTGTGTTTACAAGTTGCTCGAGCCCTGGAGCCCTGAGGATGGAGCCCATAAATAGCCTTTGATGCAGCCCCAGCCCCAGGGCAGCTGCCTTCCTGTCCCACTTGAGAAATAGCACCATGTGAACTGCTGGTCATCTCCAGCTTAGTGTCTGGCACATGTACTACTGGGGGAGACTGGAATAAACTGGATCAGTGCAGATGTCCTTTCCTGGCTTATTCCCATGTGGAGTGAATTCTCTCCAAGATGCATCTCCCAGAGCTTGTGGAGTAGTTTGGTGCATGCAGGGGGTGATTTATTCTCCAGGGCAGGTCGGTTGTGGTTTGAATTCCATCTTCTTCCAGCTCCCTTATGAGGCTGTTCATGTTCTGGGTTTTTTTTCTGCATGAAACAGCAGTGCCAGATGACCTCTCTGAGGAGTTACATTAAGGGTGGCTCAGGGGTGCCTGTGCCCTGCACACTGAGCCTTGAGGGGCTCCTGTGGGACCCTGGGCAGCAGAGCACCTGAAGTGCTGCTGTTGGGGCTGTGCTGGGACAGCAGATGTTCCATGTGCTCAGAAGTGTCACAGGAGCTTCCTGACATCCTCCTTTCCTTGAAAATACCACACCAACACAAATGCTTGTTTTGCTGAACGGGTTTCTTATGAAAATGATCTTGGTGAGAGTTTCGCAAGCACAGCGCTGCTTCCAGAGGGAGCTCATGAGATTTTGGGATGAACACTGCCTTTCATTGTTCCACAGTGTTTGAGTTGAACCAAGAGTGGTGAATTTTTCTTGCTTCATCTGAAATTGCTGGCATTGCTAGCTAGCATGTCTTGAGTGCAGCATCTGATGCTGTTTCCTTAGGGAGAAGGGGTTTGTTTCTCCACTAGGAGCCTGTTCTTTTCCATCTCAGCTGAATGTAGTGATAACAGTGGAAGTGAATATTTAGGTGCCTTGTCAGAGCAGCAGGGATACAAAGGCTTTTCCAGCACAGCTTCAGCCCAGGTGTGTCTCACTGCCTGTTTCAGTCTGGGCACTGCCAGAATTCGTGGCTTTCCCTCAGGGATGCCAGATCAGCATCCTGGGGTCTCCATATCCCTACCAAGTGGAGTTCCAGCACGAGGTCTCGTGCTCAGATCTGAGTTGCTGACCTCGTGCTGCAGGTAGGTTTCTGTGATGCCTCATGCTGTGCCTCAGACACCCACCTGCTGTGTGCAGCAAACACTCAGAACTGGCTCCCACCCAGCCTGAAAGGCTTGGGACACATTCAGTGGCAGGTTTGTGTGTGTCTAATTAGTTTGCTTACAGTTCCTCACATCTGTTCAGTTCCTTAAACTTCACAGAAGGGACAGAGCTGTAATGCTTTCCCTTCAGCAGCACTTGTTCTATATTCAGTGCGGGAAATAACTTGTTCCAAACTTGGGCTTGGGCCAGGAATTGTTCCCCTGAGGCAGAGATGTATACAACAACTCCTGGAGTATCTTACACCTACCATGGGAAAGAAGGTTCAAAGGCACACAGTTGTGATAAAACCAGTATTTAAATTCTGCCCACTCCATTTACTTATTTATTAACTCCAGGAGTCTTGCTGAGAGACTGACATGTCATCACTCTCGCTGGATGGTGAAACTAGAATGGCTGCTCTCTGGCTCAGGGACTTGAGAAAGCAGTTCCTAAATCCAAGGGCTTGCTCCTGCACAGCCAGTTCCTTTTCCCTGCACTGGGAGGAGAGGAGGAAATGTTTCAGAAATATGAAAAATCTGCAGATCCCTGCCCGTGCTTGTTCCTGTCTCCTGCAGCCACACTGTTGCTGCCAGTGCCTAGCTGTTAGTCTGGACAGCAGCATGTTTTTGTTGTCTACAGTAGTAATAAATCAATATTTTTCTTTTTTTTCTCCAAGTTACTTATTTCTGAATATGTAATGAAACCCTTAAGTGGGAATGTGCCATCAGTGAGAGTGTGTGTGTGTGGAGGGTGTATCTTAGCTCTGCTTTTCATTCACAGAAATGTCTTTTCTGAAATGCCTGTTCCCTGTTTGGAAAGCGCTCCAGGCTCCTGTGTGAAAATCCAGACATGAGGAACATTCCAGCTGTGTAGGGCAGGATTGTGCTTTTGCTGGAGTGTAACAACATTAAGCATAAATTTCTTTCAGACAGAAAAATGTCATTGTTGGAGGTAGTGAAGTCATCAGCCTCTCTCTCCCTTTCCCTGACTGAGGATCTGAGGGTGTGAGAAGGGAAATGCTCTGTGTGTCCAGTCTGTGAACAAATGTGCCTGTTCTGAGCTGCCTTGGCAGCCACCATCCCACTGGCACAGGGGATGGAGGGCTGCAGCCTGGGACTGCTAGTTCTGATCCTGAAAGAAAAGTATTTTAAGGAACACTTGATTACAGTGCAGGGTGCTGTGCTGCTAAAAATGCCCATGGGATTAATGCAGTGAGAGCCCTGCCTGGGGAGGGATCAGGCTGTGCCTCTCAGGGGACACAGGGCTGGGCTCTGCGAACCCGAGGGGTGGGAGGGCATTTGGAGATGGGGCAGCCCTGGGTCTGGGGGGTTGCTTAGGCTCTCGGGGTGTTCTCTGTTGTTCCAAGAGCAGAGTGTGGATTGGGATTGTCACTATGGAAAGTCCAGAGCTGAGCCCTTTGGCAGATGTGTTTGGCCAGCGTCCCTTCCTTCCACACCATCGAGGGGTGGCTGTGCAGCACCCAGGGCTTGCTCAGCACCAGCAGCACGGTGCCTCTGCTCCCCTGGCAGGGCTGCAGTCCAGCCCAGGAAACAAGGAGCTGTACAGTGTGCCTTGGAGTGATCATCACCCTCCTGCAGGCTGGTGCAGCACAGCTGTGAGTGGTTGTGTCTCCCACAGGTGAAGGAATCGGATGGTGTGGTTAACGATGAGCTGCCGAACTGCTGGGAGTGTCCAAAGTGCAACCACGCAGGGAAAACTGGAAAAGTGAGTTTAATGGGAATAAGTGGTGCTGGAATGAGATACAAAATCTTAAGCATTCCCTCTGGCCTATAGATAGACTTCAGCCCAATACCAGCTTTTGGTTTTGTGCTTAATTCAGGTTTTGTTCTTAATTACCCATGGTGGGAGGTTGAAATGAGGTGATCTTTAGGGTCCCTACCAACCCCAGCCGTTCCAGGGTTATGTGGTTCATTCCGTGACAATTCTGTGAGTTGAAGGAGACAAGCTCACAGCTTTCTATTCTTCAGTAATTTCTGTATGCTTGTACCAACACTTCACCCAGCACCTGAGGAATATTTAGGTTAGTTCTGTGCGCTGCTGCATGTTAATTTTGACAATGAAAATTCCTGAAATTAAAAATTCACAGGCAATTATGCAAAACCTGGAGCGTCTGTTGGAATTAGTGAAACACTATTTCTTTGCAGACCAAGACAGACACTTGCAAGTGTGTAGTTAGAAAAATAACCTCAGGAAAATTAAAACTTTTAACTCCTTACTAATCATTTTGTGAGTTCAAAAGTGACCAACCCAGTAGTGTTGGAGTGCTAGTGGCAATGTGAAGAGCTGGGAGATGCATGAGGTATAAAGTTGGTTTGTGTTTTGTGTCTCTCTGGCGTACAAGCAAAAGCGCGGACCAGGATTTAAATACGCGTCAAATCTCCCGGGCTCGTTGCTGAAGGAGCAGAAAATTAACAGAGACAACAAGGAAGTGCCAGATGCTGCCAAACGGAAAGGGGACTGCGAGGAGACTCCCAGGCGGAAATCAGAGGAACATTCCAAAAAGGCTCCGGTTGACTCAATCCTGAGGAGAAAGTCTGACGAGGTGCATCTGTGGAGGAAGCGGAAATTCGAGAAGTCCCAGGAACCCACGATGAGAAAGCGGGTAAGGCACGGCCCCTGCTGCTGCTCTGCACAGAGCCCGGGCTGCCAGGGGCTGCTGGCTCTGCTCTCCTGGCTCAGAGCTCACCCCCAGATCCCGGATTGTTCCCAGAGGAACTGGGAGTTTTTACCATTCCGGTAAAAGCTGCTGGTCTGACAGGACAGTGGCTTGAACAGGGACACTCAGGTTGGTGTGCAGAGGCTGAAAACACTGGCCTATGGCTCTTGTTTTATTCAAGGTACTGGAAAATCCACTTTAGCTGAAAAGTCTTTACAAGGTGCTCAGAGTAGGAGCAAGGTGAAAATTTCATGGAAGCCTTTTCAGGTCTCTCCACGTGGTGGCGCCTGGCAGCTGATCTGGGCTGTGGCACCACCCTGGGAAACCTCTGGGAAGGACACCGGGGGTGCCTGCAGGGAGCAGGAGCTGCTCCAGACAGGTGGGTAGACAACCTGGCCCTGGACGTGACAGTCAGGACTCTCAGGCCAGGCAGGGACACTCTGAATTTTCATGTAGATTCCAAAATGTGGTACCTGGGATCTGCAGAAACACTGGTTTGTAGAGGCAGAAATGAGGGCTCCAATTCACTGTGTCTCATGACTAAAGTGGCTGATGGCTGTAAAATCAGAATCCGTGGCTGGACTGGTGTTGCCTGTGAAGCTCCCAGGGGTGGGAGTCAGTCAGTCCTGCAGGGCTGGACAGTGGGAATGCTGCAGGATGGCAGATGTAGGGATTTTGGGCTGCTTTGGTGGAGAGAGAGCAAAATTCACAGTAGCAGTTCATGCATAGCTGCTTGCTGGCCATGCTTTCCTTTTCCCATCCCTTTGGACTCCCCTCAGTGAGAAAGGCACTGTGGGTCACCACATTACCACACAACACAACAGATGTGTTTGGGTTTTTTACTTAATTCTTGGAAAAGAAATCATTACCCTGTTTACATCTTGAAATTGCAGAATCTCTCTCTCTTATGGAAGCCTTTAACTCCAGATAGTTCAGCTGCACCATCTGGGTTTGTATTTTCTCTTCTGCTGTTCTGTATTAAAATGCAGCAGCCAGTTGTGTTTTGATGACCCAAGGAATAGAAATCTGCTCCTGTACTGATGTTTGGTCCTCCCTGTGTGGTTGAACGTTGCCCCAGTCACACAGCCCCTCTGCAGCCTGTGCCACAGCACATCCTGCAGTCCCTGCTCCCCCCAGGGAGCCAGGGATGTCCTGGCACTGCTGCCCCCACAGCCTGGCATGATCACAGAATTCCAGTGCCTGGAAGCAGAGCACCCATCGGTGCTGGGAGCTGCAGTGGCCTGGTGTAGTAATGTTTTATTCCAACCTGTCATTAACTTACTGTGACTTCTCCCTTTATAATATGTTAATTTAAAGGCAGGGTGATCAGTTTTCTCCACCGTGCACTGTGGGCTGAAACTTGGGAACACAGCCACTGCAGCCCCCAGCACCGATGGGAGTTATTGGAAAAGCGAAAGCAGGAGCCCTCTGACACAACAAGTGTGCTCGCAGCAGTTCCCTCTCCTTGCCAGCCCCAGATCTCCTTCTTAGAGCCATTTTCAACAGCTGGTGACTGTGACTTCTTTCTTGCTTGTGGTGATCAGATTAGGCTTGAAGCCTTCCCAGGCCTTGGTTTGTGTCTCTGACGCAGCCTGGTGAATGGGAGAGGTGGATGAGTGGGGAAGAGTGCAGAGCAGCGTGCTGGGAGCAGGCACTGGGGCAGGAGGAAGGTGCTGGCCCAGCCCTGTGAGGGCTCAGCAGTCCTGGAGTGTCACATTCCTTGTTCTGCAGGGATTGGAGGGGATGGCCAAGGTTTGGTTGGGTGTAAAGGAGCATCTAAAGGAGGCTGTGGGTGTGCAGCAGTCGGGATGGCAGCTGTGATCCCAGAGGTTTTGGGAATGGCCCTTTTGACCATGGTGTGAGGGCACTGGGGCAGTGTTTGATGTGGGTGCACAGTGGATGTGGTCCATGCCTGGGTTCTTGTAGCCTGCTGGGAACAAAGCTGTCCATGGTGTGCTGCTGATCTTGTGTGTGAAAATGATCCAGTCGGAGATGGGCAAGGCCCTGGAATGTGCAGGAATCTGCACAGTGAATCAGTACATTTGTCACTCCTGGAGTCCAGTGAGCCAAGAGCGGGGCTCCTCATCCCTGCTGGCTCTTGAATGCGATACCTTTGGCTGGTGCTGGGATGGGGCTGGATGGGTGGGGCCCGGCGCTGGCAGGGGGCCCGGCCCCGGGCAGGGCTCCCGTGTGGAGCATCCGCGTGGGAAGCGCTGCTGGAAGCGCTGCTGAGCTCCCACAGTCAGCCCTTGTCTCTTCCTTCCAGCGGCGATCGTGGAAGGCCCCGGATGACCGAACTGCCATGATCAAACCCCTGCGGCGCCTCAAGCAGGAGCCCGAGGACGAGCTGCCAGAAGCACCCCCCAGGTCCAAGGATAGCGACCAGTCTCGGTCCAGCTCGCCCACAGCAGGGCCCAGCACGGAGGGCGCCGAGCCCAGGGACAAGAAGAAGTTCAAGATGAGGAGGAAAAGGCGGCTTCCCAATAAGGAACTGAGCAAGGAGCTCAGCAAAGAGCTTAACCAGGAGATCCAAAAAACCGAGAACAGCCTTGCCAATGAGAACCACCAACCCATCAAATCTGAACCGGAGAGCGAGAACGAGGAACCCAAGCGTGCGTTAAACAACAGCGAGAGACTCCATAGGTTCAGCAAAGGGTTGAACGGGACTCCCCGGGAGCTGAGGCACCACCAGCTCATGCCCAGCCTGCGCAGCACCCCCCGGGGAATAGCCCGGCCCCCGCCCTCGCTGTCGCCCCCCAAGTGCATCCAGATGGAGCGGCACGTTATCCGGCCACCTCCCATCAGCCCCCCTCCGGACTCGCTGCCCCTGGATGACGGGGCAGCCCACGTGATGCAGAGGGAAGTCTGGATGGCTGTCTTTAGCTACCTCAGTCATAGAGACTTGTGCATCTGTATGAGAGTTTGCAAGACCTGGAACAGATGGTAAGGAGGGCGGGACACGAGGTGTGGTGGGACGGGCACCGAAGGACAGCGGGTGGTGGAGGCACTGGTGTCTCCTGGGGAGGGCTGTGGCTGTCCCTGGAGCTCTGGTGGGCCCAGGCAGAAGGGGTGACCAGCAGAAGCGGCAGGTCTCGTGTTGCTTTCTCAGAAACGGCAGCTCCCAGCATTTCTGGTGGAGCTGTGTGTGTCAGACTCGATGTCAGCCTGCCAGGCTCTGGAGCAGCCTGTGCTGGAGTCAGACACCGCAGTGTTCCTGCTGCTGGAACAGCCAGGCTGGCTCAGTCTTGGTGTCATTCTGCCCCAGGACTTCCTGACTGCCAGCATTTGCGCAGTTCAGTTGTTAAATACCTGCTGAGATAGTGAGGATCCCACCGTGTGCTCCTCACAAGGGCTGTGCTGATTGTCTCCCTGTGGAGGGCACGTGGAGAGCCAGCCTGTTCCCTGTTCCCTGTTCCCTGTGCCAGCAGAGCACGTTCTGCAGGAATCCTTTGTTGGTGGTGTTTGCTCACAGCGTGTCCCTTGTGCTTGGGTACTGTGTGGCCCTGACACAGCTGTGGCTGCACAGAGCAGCAAAGCTTTAGTGCAGATCTACAGGTTTCAGTGACCCCTCAGTGGGGCCTTGTGGCTCTGGTGACTCCTGTCCCGGGCTCCTGCTGTGCACAAGGACAGACAGACTGGAACAGGCTCCTCTCCAGCACAGCCTGCTAACAGACCGTGCACAAAGTAGAGGGGCTGGGAATTCAGTGTGGGGTGATGTGTGTGGAGTGTCTTCTCCATGGGCTGCTTGATGGCACTGAAACCTGCCAAATTCATTTTCTATTTAAATACAGTATTGCCTAATTAAAAAAAAAAAAAAAAAGAAAGAAAGAAAATGCAGATTCCTGCACACTCATCAGGATTTGGTGTTGTTGCCCTTAGAGACCCATAAAGAGCAAAAAGACACATAATCCACATAGACAGGGAAAACACAAACACACAACAGGAGAGGGAGCATCTGTTTTCCCATATCTACTAATTTTAAGGAAAACACAGAGGAAATGGGGATATTATTTAAATCACACTTCATAGTCATAATATAAGGAAGGAGTGGTGACTTGTCTTCAGGCTATTAAACGGATTTTAGTAAGTGCTGGGATGACTTAAAATGGCACCCAAAGTTGTTGGCTCTTGTAATTCTGTGGAAATAATTCCATGCTTCATTGCAGGATGTATTTGATGGAGGGACTTGAAACTTACGTAATATTGTGTGGGGTTGTGTTTATCTTTGCAATACTTGGCCTTATTTTTGCAATTTTCAGTTAAATGCTGTAGTTTTTCCTACTGTTTAATGACACCTTTTAAAGCCTTACCAAAACCCAAACAAGTGCCAAATTAAGTGCTCTTGGCTTTTTTTCTTTTTGGGTAGGTGCTGTGACAAAAGATTATGGACCAAAATAGATTTAAACCATTGTAAATCCATCACTCCACTTATGCTTAGTGGCATTATTAGGAGACAGCCTGTAACCCTTGATCTTAGCTGGACAAATATATCTAAAAAGCAGCTGAGTTGGCTTATCAACAGATTACCAGGTAAGTGATGTGTTTTCATCACCAAATCACCAACCAGTTTGTGTAACAAACCAGTCTGTATCTAAACTGCAACCTCTGGGGAAAGTCTGCAGGGACTGGGGTGACCTAGAAGAGGAGTAGACTCTACTAGAAGGGCTGCAGATGTGCAACAATGAAGCATCAGTGGGTTAAAATGAGCCAAAAATATTTTTTCTGACTATTTGACATGTTCAGTTAAAATGATTTGAGGCAGGTCTTGCCCAGCAAGTAATGAATGCTGCTGTGGAGGGGGCTGGGGGAAGGAGTGAGGTTCCAAGTGGTGGGACAGATGGAGAGCTGGGCAGGAGGAGGGGACTGGGTCAGAGCAGCCCGGGGGTGCCAGTGGAGGTCTCTGGGATGTGCCTGGAAGGTCCCAGTGCTCCAACCCGTTCTGTGTCCGCAGGTCTGCGGGACCTGCTGTTATCAGGGTGCTCATGGATAGCAGTGTCGGCACTTTGTAGCTCCAGCTGTCCCTTGCTGCGAACTCTGGACGTGCAGTGGGCGGAAGGACTGAAAGACGCACAAATGAGAGACCTCCTGTCCCCGCCCACGGACAACCGGCCAGGTAAGGGCGGGAGGAGCCGGGAGCCCCGTCCCACCCCGGGGCCTGTTCTGTGCTTAGCGGCCCTTGGAGCAAACGGGCAGGAGCCCCCACAGCCGAGCCTGGCGGGGCTGGGGCCCTGCTGCCCCTGGGGCGTTCGAGGTAGCGACTTGCAACACTCCTGGCTGGAGCCCTGGGGTGACAGGGATGTTCTGTGGCTGCTGAACCATCATCTGAGCCACTGTGCTGGTTTTCTGTCTGACTTTCTTCTCTTCAGGCTGCAACGGGTGTACTTTAGAGAGTATGGAAACACTTTCTTCCAGTTCAGGGAAGGAGCAGTTCTGTGGGTCATGCCACATTCGCCCGGATTTCAGCTCAGGTGAAATTTTGAGCAAATCAGATCTGCTTTCTGGCATGCACTGCACAGCCTACTGCTTATTCCCGACTTGTAATTCCGCTGGGCCCCTGCAGTTACTTTCATCCCTTTTGTTTTGAAATCAGGAGGTGGCTTTGTCCACATGCCTGTTCCAAAAATAGACAAGTGTTCCTGCTGATGTTCCCTCCAAAGCTCCAGACAGGCAAAAGCTCTGAAGTTGAGCCAGGGCAGCAGTGTTGTGTGTCACGGTGCATTTCGTAGAGGCCTGCAGATGTTGGCAGCTCGGGGTGGGGCTCGTGGGAGTGACCCGCTGCCTCTGCTCCGCAGGTCAGATCGACAACCGGAGCAAGCTACGGAACATCGTGGAGCTGCGCCTGGCCGGGCTGGACATCACGGATGCTTCGCTGCGGCTGATCATCAGGCACATGCCCCTGCTCTCCAAACTCAATCTCAGTTACTGTAACCACGTGACAGATCAGTCTATTAACCTGCTGACCGCCGTCGGGACCACCACGCGGGATTCGTTAACGGAAATTAATTTATCAGGTAAGGGACGTGGGGGAGGGAAGCTCTGAGGGGGCTTTGGCCCAGCCCTGCCTGCTCCCGGTGTAACTCCCTGGCAGCAGCTGCCAGGAGCTGTTGTAGCCCGGCTCATCCTCCCGGGGGATTTTCTGCACATCTGGGCTGCCTAGCTTGATCCCGTGGGTTACACAACAGCTGGGGGATGGGGATGGGCGATGGAGCTGACAGGGATTCCTCTGCTGGGGATGGGGATGGAGCTGGTGGGGATTCCTCGGGGATTCCTCCTGCTGGAGGAAAAAATCAGTGCTGAATTTTTCCGCTCTGCTCTCCCCAGACTGCAATAAGGTCACTGACCAGTGCCTGTCTTACTTCAAACGTTGTGGGAACATCTGCCAGATCGACCTGAGGTACTGCAAGCAAGTGACGAAGGAGGGCTGTGAGCAGTTCATAGCGGAGATGTCCGTGAGCGTCCAGTTTGGGCAGGTGGAAGAAAAACTTCTGCAAAAACTGAGTTAGTTAAAGGACTCGTGTAAATACTGGGGTGAGGGGGGGAAGGGACTAAGAACATGTAGGGATTTTATTTTCAATTGGGAACTTGGAATATCAGAAAATGCCGCGATTGGATTTTACAACTCTTGTTGAGGAGAGAACAACGTGAAACTACCCATGTTAAGAATTTCAACTTGTGCCACTAATTCAGTCCACCTGGGATGACCTGCACTGGCTCTTATGCAAATTCATAAGGCGACTGTTACCGATGATAATTGTTCACACCCTGGAAGAGGACTGAGCTCCAAGAAATACTGTTATTTAAAGTACCACAGCATGTGCTTGGTAGTGTAAATTTGATTTCTGCTTTTCATTTCTTAAAACAAGAAAAAAAAAAAGTTGGTGTCATTTAAGTGGACCACGCACTGCATTTCTGCCTTCTTAACACGTTTTGTTTTGTTACATCTTACATTATGCAGAACTATTTTTGTACAAAAATTGTTTAAAAATTATTTATGCAATGTTTGAATGCATTACCAGTGTTTCGGTTTTGATTGCCAATTTTTATCTTTACTTATGGTAGGCGAGAACTTAACCTATACTTCGTAGGCAGTATCTATCTACAAACGTGCCCAGGTCAGGAAAAAGTAGGTTCATACTTTCAACTTAAAGCATGTTTTAATGGAAGTTTATATCCTGCTTTGTATACTTCAGAAGTGACATAAGCATGTTGTGGAAATAAGGTGTAAATTATAGTTGAAGTAAAACACTTTTATCTGTATAGAAATCACCTTTTTCTCAAAATTTTAAAAAAATTCCAATTTCAGCTTTTGCACATAGGAGGGTTTCACTCTGTAGCATGAGCTCTTGTACTCAATATGAAATTAATTTATACAGTGAGTCCAGCAGTAGAATAAATGGTCAAACGTAGTCTCTCTTTCTTTGAAGTGTGAGTTGAGTTCTCATTTAAGGTTTATAACATGGTTATTTCCTGATTGTAAAATTCTGCATTCATAAGTGCCATTGTTGTATGGTGTTGTTTTCGTAGACCTTCCTGATGCAGTTTTACCTTTGTTGAATTTGTATAAACAATTGTACAAAAACAGGCGCTGGCTCTGCACGTTTCTGTTGGGGCAGGGTGGGTGGCTGCAGGGAGCTCTGGCCCAGGACTCAGCATTTTCCAGGGCTTTGTTACATCCAGGGATTTTCCCAGGTCAGGCTCCAGGAGCACTGACAACCTGAGAACATTAAAACTGGAGCTCAGTAACCCTCAGCACTGCCAGGGCTGGGTAAGAAAAGAGACAGAGGCTGAGAGAGCCCATCACCCATCTTTATTGAGTTCGAGTGGCTAATGAGCAGCATGGAAATAACACCCAGGGCATGTCTCTCTTCATTAGCCTCCCCTCTGGACAGACTCCAGGAATTAAGTACCTTTAAAAAGTTACTTCTAAAAAATAAAGCCATTGAGAGGTTTGCTCCCTTCTGAAAAATGCCCAGTAGAGCTTGGAGCTGTGTTTTGTGTGAGGAGGAGCTGCTTTCTCTCTTCCAAGCCACCTTAAGGAGTCACAAAAATAAGAGCAGGTGCCAGTGCAGCACAGGTCCAGTTCTCCAGTCCTGCACCCTCAGCCAGGCACAGCCTTGGCTCTGGAACTTTGCTGCCACATGGGAAACGAAAGGAGAAACTCTACATTTTTTAACCAACTCTGCTTAAAGAATAACTGGACATACATGGTTCTTCCTCACCTCTTTTTTTACAGTGCGCTTCACCAAGCCCAGTCCTGGCCATGCTTGGCCACAGGCACCCTGTTCTCACCCGCAGCATGAACTCCTCTTGCTGCCCCCTTCCCCAGGTCACTGCTCACAGACATCCTGCAGGGACCCTCACAGTTCCTGCTCCGGAGGACCAAGGGCTGGCAGCAATACAGGGCCCTCAGCAGCCCCTGGAAGCTGCTTTGGGTGACCTGGCTTTGGGTGAAAGTCTGTGAACAGGAGATTTTAAACAAAAACTGCTCCTGCCTCCCCCTCCCTGGTTAAGGTTAGTAACGCCGTACATTCCACGTTAGCAGCAAGGAGGTGGTGCCCCTGATCAGGACTCACAGTAACATCAGGCTGTCGGCACATGGAGTACAATCATCACAGATTAATAGTTACAACAGGCATGAGCGGATTAAGGACCACGCTAACATGGTTTACTATAGGAACCCTTCTTAAAAAAATAGTTTATTCCTAAACTAAAAACCACTTAGTAACTGGTTTTTGGAGCCCACGAGGCAGAGCCCAGTGCAGCCCCTGAGCCCTGCAGATTGATGGAGTGTTTTGTACACTGACAGAGAACAGCCAAGACAGCACATGTGTCATGACAGACATTCAGAGGGAGCAATCAGCATAAAGCAAGATTGCTTAAGGGCTTCTGTGCGGGAACAGTTCATGGCAGTGCTTCCTAAGCCCTGTCCCACACCAGCACCGCGGCCAGGCTGTGGGGACAGATACATTCTATCATTAGGGAAAAGCTGAATAATCAACTGAGATAGTCATTGCTTCTAATGCACTAGAGAACACCGCAGGCTAACAGGCTCAAGCAGAGGTGTTTGCTGACCACTTGCTGAGTGCTGAATGCGTAAGGACAGGTGAGATTCTTCAGAAGAGAGCAAGAACTGCTGTAAACAGTTTGACTCCAACAATCTGTGGGGCTGTAAGGTCAGTGGGGCAGCACCTGGGCCTGCCCAGCCCTGCGCTGCAGGAGCTGCTTGAAAAACTTTTAACCAACTTCTACATCTTGATGTTGAAAAGGCCGAGTTTAACCAAAAGGACAATGCTGCTGCGTGCCCCAGGACCCAGCACTCCTGCCCACAGGAACCCTGCCCACAGGAACCCTGCCCACAGGAACCCTGCCCGGGGCACTGGGGCAGGGCTGGGTTAGGATTTGAAGACGTGCACGGCCCGCACGACGTACTGGCGGCAGATGGGGCACTCGCTCATCCTCTTGCCGCACTTGGTGCAGGTGACCATGTGGCCGCACTCCAGCAGCACGCAGTCGATCACGGCGTCCATGCAGATCCGGCACAGGCTGTCGTCGTCCTCGTTCAGCTGCATCCGCTCCCCCTCTGCAAACCAACAGAGAGGGAGGTCACCCTCTGGGCCCTGCACAGCCAGGGCAGCTCCAGCCCAGCCACGCTCCATCCCCTCACATCAACTTCTTTAACCCCCAGCTATGAATTAATCTATTCCTCCAAAAATCAGCAAAGAAATAAGAACTAAATAGCACCTCAAGTGAACATCCAATATTTGGCTTCATTCTTTAAACTCAAGAAACTGTTTTCAATTCAGAATGTAATGACTGCAAAATAACGTGCTGGATTAAAATTCAGAGTGTGTTGGGTTTCCATGTTGGAGCTCACTGTTTGGCAGAACACTTTCCTCAGAAGATTAAACACAACAATAATAAAGCAGACTAAGAAACAGAAGCCTTAAGTAGGCCATAAAGGTGGCAGAAGTGAACAAAACCTCTCAAGTTTCATGGCATATAGTCACCATCGCCATCAGTAACTGAATATTCTATCAGATAATGGTGAAAAAAATAAACCTTAAATTCACTTTTTTTCCTCCAAGTTTTGTGTAAGCAAGAATTGGTCAGAGGAGAAATTACACAACTGAAAGACAGACTCCAAATGCTGTGTGGGGCAGAGGGTAGAACAGCAGCCACTGAGCTGCAGCCACAGAAAACTTTATGAAAATGTGGACTGAGACCAAAGCACTTGGACTTCTGTTGCTGTAGATTTTAATTCTGCAGTAACAGACCTAAAGTGCCCTGATCTGCACAGCAACAGAGGAGCTCTGGCCAATGCCCTGTGAAGCCCAGCAAAGCACAGAGAGGTGCCAAGTTCCAGTTCTCTGAGGAACCAGTTCTCAGTTGTGCAATTCTACCTTCACTGCGAAAGATGAGCTCTCCAAGCCTCAGAAGAAAGTCTCAAAAAACCAGCACAATCCTGGAAAGCTTTGTTTAATCATTACAGCCATGTTCAGCTACTCTAGGGGCATCCTGCATTGTTAAAACACATTTTCCAGGTGTTCCAGCAGAGCAGACAGAGGTCAGATACCAAGTTCTTCCACTGGCAGAACCAAACCAGAAACTGGAAACCAGAAACTCAGTAGTCTTAAGAAAGCAGAAATAAAGTATAAACCTACGTGTCTTGTGGTTCTCCTCACTCTCTCTGTACAGTCTGCTCACTTTTTCCACAAGTTCCCATTTTTCACAGCATCCTGAGTAGTTGACAAAATTGCAGGCGAGGATTTCCTTCAGCTGCCGAACACTCAACCCTTCGATGTCTTCCAGACTGGAAATGTCGGACAGGGAGGCCCTCGCTCTCTTCCTGGCCAGCCCCGGGGTCTGAAACACATCAGTTGTGTGCTTTTAACTGCCCTGGTTACTTCAGAGCACCAGAGCTGGAGCACATGAAGCTGCAGCAGCTTGGCTAAAGTCCAATTCTTTTTGAAGCCAGTGTGTGCAGACATTCATTGCTAGACATAGCGAACTCTGGAAGAGCCAGAGTACGAGGCCAAGTGTTGGCAGAGATATAAAACACCTCATGGTGTCACATGCCAAAAATCTATTTATTGGATAATTCATATCTCACCTGCTCTTCTGCACTTTCTTCTTCTTCATTATTTACAGATGTTTCAGTTTGTCCCTGTGTGCAAAATGAAACTTATCAGGATAAAAACCCATGCTATTCCCTTATAAAACACCTTCCTTCCTACCAAGGTGATCTCAGGCGACAATGAAATGACATTTTGAAGTTCCAACTGCTATTAATCATTCCAGATTTAAGTCACTTCTGACATGAACTAGAAATCTTTGCTAATTATCTCCAGCTTTCAGGTGCAGGGTACAAAAGGTATTTTTCCTGTCCCTCCAAACTGTATCAATTGATGTTTTATTTTAAATTGATGCATAACATTAAAAAATATATATAAAATAAAGCAATGCTATTGCATAAAACGTGTTAATCACTGTACCCGTGAAGGTGTTCCACTTCCTGTGCTTCCCCTTCTGTTGGCAAGTTCTCCTGGGTTTGATGTGGACACAGATGTGGAGAAGGGGTGGGCAAAGCCCGAGCTCTGTGAGCGTGAGGAGCGCAGGCTGCCAGCGTCCATGTCCTCCTCTGCCCCCAGGCCATGGTGGCACAGCACCAGCTCCACCAGGTCTTCCTTCTCCCTGCAGGTGTCCGTGGGGATGTTCCTGAGGATCAGGTACTGGCGCAGATCCTTCACCTTCAATCTCATGAGCTGAGGGCGCTGGAAGGCCGTTTCTTGCAGCAAGTGACAAGTGGAGCATCTTCTGAGATTCTCTTGTAGGACTGAACAAACTGAGCAAAAATCCTTTTTGCAGTCACAACACACATGCTGAGGGGAAAGGAGGGAACCATTCAGCTCCGGGTCACAGAAAACAAATCCAGGCCCTGCTCTCTGCTTCTCCAGGCTACAGAATTTACCATCAGCTCTTCCACTGTCAGTTGTGACAGACAATTTTTAAGATTTAAATACAGAAAACTGCCCTGTCAATTTTGCAAGTGTTCCAAGGGAGTCCCTCGTTCTTCTGGCACTACTGAAGCTGATTTGAGGTTTCAGTGAAAAATATTATGAATAAACAAATTAATAAAGTGCTCAACTTGTAGTTTAGACAACAAGCGAAACTAAAACAAATGTTATGGTCTGTTAAAATACTTCTGAACATACTGTCACTGCTGCTTTCATGCGTGCAAAACAACAGTATAACCCCAAACTCTAGAGAACCTACTGCTTCCTCCACTGACTGCAAGAACTCAAAGCAGGCCTCGCATGTGATGAATCAGACGGGAGGGAAATACTCCCAAAATCCCAGATGTCACTTCTGAAGAGAGCTTTGTTCAAAGGACTCACAATACACAAAAGCTGGAATAAGCAAGACTGTCAGCTTCCAGCTGCTGTGAACAAACCCAAGCTCCTCAAAGTTTTCAGGATTATAGTAAATTAATATTGGCTTCAGAAATGTCCCTACACAATGCTTCATTCAACAAAGCCTTGCCATGTGAACAGGACACATAAGGGGAAAACAACACATAAACT